GGGGGTGACTCATGTGGAACAGAAGGAGGTTTGAGAAGAGCTGTGCCTCGCTGCTGACCTCAGCGCAGGGTGGATGCCCCAGACAGCATACCCTGTGGACTCTGGGCAGCAATCTGCAGTGTTTGTCCTTTTCCAAGGCCAGAGGGAACCTCAGGGGGCCTATGGGCAGAGAAGCACGTAAGTGGTCTGCTCTCCAGGGCGTCCGGTCCTTGGGACTGCCAGCGGTTGGAAGGTGGTGTGTGGGGCGCTTCTGCCTATGAGTCTCACAATTCTCTGTGGATTTAGCAGATGGGACCTAGGTATTGGGCAGCACGTTGAGGGAACTGGAGAAGGACACAGCAGGCCTGTGCCAGCTTTGAACAGGAAAGCACAGAGCCCAGGTGTGTGTGTGTGGGCTGCCTGACTGTCCTTTGTTGCTGTTGTTAGCTTCCTTGGGAAGTGACAACCGTGTGCCACGTGACTTACAAGCCTTATCTCATTTGATCCTTCCAACAACCGTATAATGTGGGTACTACTGTGAGACAGAATTTAATTTTTTTATTATTTTTTAAGATTTTATTTATTTATTTGACAGATCACAAGTAGGAAGAGAGGCAGGCAGAGAGAGGGAAGCAGGCTCCTCGCCAAGCAGAGAGCCCGACGCGGGGCTTGATCCCAGGATTCTGGGATCACAACCTGAGCTGAAGGCAGAGGCTTAACTCACTGATCCACCCAAGTGCCCCATGTGAGCCAGAATTTAAAAGGTAAGGGAGGGGGCGCCTGGGTGGCTCAGTGGGTTAAAGCCTCTGCCTTCAGCACGGGTCATGATCCCGGGATCCTAGGATCGAGCCCCACATTGGGCCCTCTGCTCAGCAGGGAGCCTGCTTCCTCCTCTCTCTCTGTCTGCCTCTCTGCCTACTTTGTGATCTCTGTCTGTCAAATAAATAAATAAAATCTTAAAAATAAATAAATAAATAAATAAATAAATAAATAAATAAAAGGTAAGGGAGCCAAAGCTAATTTCAGTGACTTGTCCAAGATCATACAGCTGGTAGTCAGTGAGGCTGGGATTCAAACCCAGGCCTGTTTGGCTTCCCAGCCTGCCTTCTGGTTCTCTGTGGGATGTGGCTTCTCCCTCAGCCCTACCCACCCCCTTCACTGGGCTCAGCCACCTCAGCACCGGTGTTGGGTCTCTCCTCCTTCCTCTTCAGCCTGATTCCCACTTTCTCCCCAGTCGTTGTGCCAGATACTTGGACTCCACCACCCCAACCACAGTCCCTGTTCGTTTCCAAAGTTCTTTCTCATCAGCCCTCACTCTGGGCAAAAACACCCATTACTTATCGTCCTACAATAGCCATAAAAAGGCTTGCTTACCCTTGACATTCAAATAATCCATTTCTTTTATCCAACATTGGTTATTACTTTATCGTCTGTGTTTCTGTGTGTTTGCTCACAGCCATACTGACTGTGGTGTGTGAGCACACGCGTGCGCGTGCGCGTGTGTGTGTGTGTGTGATTTATCTGCCTGCTGGGCTGAGACCCTGGGAACTCAGCAGCCTCGGCTGAGCTTCCTGGTGTTTGTAATGTGGTTTCTGGGTAGTTTTTCTTCAGTCTGTCTCCGTGTCTAGTCTGTGAGGACCTTGCAGGCAGGGAGCACCGGTGTGCGCATGCCCACAATGCCAGCACCTGTAGGACACCCGACACTGAACACCAGGTGCTTTAATGGGTCCTCATAAAGGAAGGAATAAGAGGTGTGGTGTGTGCAGACAGGCAGTTAGTAATGAGTGGGACCCGGGATCACTCGGTCTGGGGGGAGGGCTGCACCTTCCCCAGCTCTTTTCTGCATCCCTTCTTCGACAGCTCAGGACCCAGAACCAGCCCCCCTGAACTGCTTGAAACTGTAATCCAATGGGGCCCTGTGTTTCCGCGCCACAGTAGGGCACCAAGGCCCTCGGGACTCCCTAGGTGTATTTTACTTGCTTCACTCAACGAGGACAGCTTTCTGAAGATAGGCACGTTGCATGTTTGCACGTCAAGTATCATGCTTGAGCCTAGTTTTAGGGAGGTGCATTTATTTATTTATTTTTAAAGATTTTATCTATTTATTTTAGAGACAGCATGTGCACGTGAGGGCATGCTGGGGGAAGGGGAGAGCAGGAGGAGAGGGAAGGAGAGAGAATCTCAAGCAGACCCTGCGCGGAGCATGGAGTCCAACACGGGCCCAATCCCATGACCCCGAGACCGCAACCTGAGCTGAAATCAGAAGTTGGCCGCTCAACTGACAGAGCCACCCAGGCGCCCCAAAGGAGGTGCATTTATTTATTTTTTTTAAAGATTTTATTTATTTATTTCACAGACAGAAATCACAAGTAGGCAGAGAAGCAGGCAGAGAGAGAGGGGAAAGCAGACTCCCTGCTGAGCAGAGAGCCCGATGCGGGGCTCGATCCCAGGACCCCGGGATCATGACCTGAGCCGAAGGCAGAGGCTTTAACCCACTGAGCCACTCAGGCGCCCCAAGGAGGTGCATTTAAACATTAACAAAATTATAAAGCAATAAAGCGGCCTGCTTAAAAGACATTCACAGTTTATAGCCTTATCTTACACTCCCCTCCCAACACCGCTCTTCCGAGAAATAAATCTGCGGAAGGCCAAGGTTGGGAGTGACTTCCTAGGCTGGTCCCCCTCAGCAGGGGTGGGCCCGAGCCTCCACATCCCGCACCTGTTTCCGGTGGCCTTCTCCAGTGGCTGGCCACAGGTGGGTATCCACCGAGTTCTGCCCACTGCAGTTCGCACTGGGATGCCTTCTCCAGGGAGAAAAGCCCAGATTTGGGGGTCAAGGGGAAAGGGAATGACTGCCTCTACTAGGAGCCCTTCTAGTACACATGGAATTGGGGCTATGACCCTTGGTTACTGCACCCCAGGCTGGGGCCCATCCCACCATCCCTCCAGTCTCACAGGGAGTGTGAGATAAGGCTATAAACTGCGAATAAGGCTGGGATGAATGTTTAACCTTTCCTGGTGTCTTCTAACTGGGCAGCCGCTCTCAAAGAGATGCAGCTTTTAGATAAAGTGGCAGATCTAGAAATCTGTGGGCACCTTCCTGGGACAACCATGTATACTTATTTATTTTAAGATTTTTTTTTTTTTTTTTTTTTTAATAATCTTCACATCCCGTGTGGGACTCCAGCCCACAACCCCGAGAGGAAGAGTTGCATGTTCCACTGACTGAGCCAGCCAGGAGCTCCAGCTGTGCAGGCTTCGTACTAGAGGCAGGAGGACCTTGCAAAATCATATCCGCAATTCACATAAACCCCCAAGAAGATGAGCGTGAGCAGCAAGCCTGTCGTAGCTGAAATCACAAGTAAAATAAACGGGTTTTCTCTCACCTGACCTCCAGGAAGGTTGGTGGGAAGAGTGGGACATGGGCAACAGGCTAGATTAAGAATTTCTTAGTGTGGGGTGCTGGGTGGCTCAGTGGGTTAAGCCTTTGCCTTCGCCTCAGGTCATGATCTCAGGGTCCTGGGATCGAGCCCCGCATTGGGCTCTTTGCTCCGCGGGGAGCCTGCTTCTCCCTCTCTCTCTGCCTGCCTCTCTGCCTACTTGTGATCTCTCTCTCTGTCAAATAAATTAAAAAAAAAAAAACTTAAAAAAAAAGCTCTTAAAAAAAGAATTTCTTAGGGTAAAGACAGGACTTCTATTTCTCATTTGTGTTGTGTTGTAAAGCTTGAATCAAATCACTATTATATCAGTGGTAGATAATTCTTGGCTCAAGGAGCTAAAATTCTCTAACAGAGCCAAATATATGACTAGATCATTACAATACTATATATGTATATATGTGTGCACATACACATATATAATTAATTCTGGTGAATATCACGTTAAATAGAAGCATATGAGCAAATTCTGTAGGACCAAAACAATTCCTGGTGGCATAGGAGGCATTGTAATCAATTTGGGTCTTGAGGGATGAATAGGAGTTTGTCTTAGTTTACCCAGGAGGCTGTTCCTGACCAAGGGTACAGCATGCACTCTTCATCTAACCCTCCTGGGCAGGTTCTGTGCCCAGGAAGGTAGGCAGAGAAAAGGACTAGTGAGAGTATTCATGGAGGGGTGGGAGAGGCCCATCCTAAGAGGGCCAGGCCCCAGGGGTTCCACTGTGGGCCATGGGGGAGGGTGCCTTGAAGGACTGTCCACTCGAGGCAGGGGGCTGTTTCGGAAGGAGGGGAGTACGAACTCACAAGGCCATGAAAAACTGAACGGAGTAGAAGCAGGGTTGGAAATGGTAGGGCAGGTTTGAGAGTTGGTTAGTTTGGGAGTTGATTGCGGGGAGGAGGAGCCCAAGGAAACGGAGAATTGTCTGCCTTTCCTCCACCCAGGGCCCTGTTCAGAGCCTGGTATATACCTACTCAGTCCTTGGAGGAAGGTAGCTGCGCAGGTGGATTGAGCATCGAAGCTGGGCAGCCCCAGGACAGGAAGCTACAGGGCCCCTGACTGTGCAGCAGATTTTCCCAATCTCCAGGGATGTAGGCACAGAATGAGATGCAAAGGGCAGCCTGGGCTGGTGGTCAGTGATCAGGAGGGTGTGTGCACACACTCTGCATTCTTACCTTACCCTCTCTCGCCACCTCACAAATACAAATGCCCCCATGCCCCTCTACCCATGTTCTGCCCCCATGCCCCTCTGCCCATGTGGTTGGGTCTGAAGAGGCTGGTGAGGCAGGGCCAGTGACCACCCCACCCCCCATCTTGAGAAGGGGCCCTTCAGGTCAGGAGGGAAGCGCAGCCCCCCACCCTGTGCCCGCCTGAGGAGCATTGAGCTTTGGGGTGGAGCGGACAGCCTGGGAACCGGTCTGCCAACCAGTTTAACCAGGGACTGGTTTCGACTCGGGAGTTCAAAGGAGCTGGGGTGTACCCCTTCCCGTCCCGTCCCGCCTGGCCAAAGGGAGCAGCGGCGCTTAACCCTTTCCGGGTTTGCCTGGGGCAACATCCAGGCACGGTCCGTGCTGCAGAGGGTCTAAGCTTCTTGGAGGCATGAAAGGGGTGAGGGTGACCTTGGCGACGGTTGGTGGGGGGGGGGGGATGCAGCTAGGCCCATGAGAATGGGGAAACAGGAGAGAGGCTCCCTTGTTTCTCCTGCCCCAGACTTCCCTTGGGGTTTCCTTTTCCTGCCGAGGTGATCCCTGGAGGACCCTGGCTTCTGGGTGGGTACAGGGGAACTGGGATTGGATTTCTGGGGTAATGAATATTCATCAGCCAGATCCGGCCTCTGCTTCTGTTTACTTAGCCGGGAGGGGCTGGGTTTCAGGTTCACCTTGACTCCTGGAGCCGCAGTGGGGCAGGTACCCGCCACTGCACCTGTTTCTCTGGCACCTGCCGCACAGCTGCTCCCACCCAGATCTCCTCGCTGGAGCCTTGCCTGGCGTGGAACCCTGGAGGCACCCCTACCTCTCCCAGCCTCCCACCCGGGCAGCTGCCACACTCAGCTCCTTCTCTAAGGAAGGTTTCACCTCCAGCCCGGAGCAGTCAGGATTACAGGTACAGGCAGAGGGAGAGCGGGTGGGGAAACCAAGGCATAGAGCACAGTCAGGGCACCCAGTTCTGCCTCCGTGGCTGACAAGCCTAACTGGGAATGAAAACCCAGGCAGGCCGGCTCCCATCTCTCCCTAGGTGGGCAGGCAGAAGTCAGACTCATCCCACTGGCTCTTGGAGTCATTCCAGGCCTCCAGCAGAGCTCTTTCTGGGAAAGTTTTAGTCCGGAACTGTTCTCCGTTAACGCTTGCTAAGCAGGAGCCTAGCCACCAGCCTGGAGGGTGTTTCTGGCTATCTGGTGGGGATCTCCCTGTTCCTCTCCAGGGTACCCCAGTCTTATCCAGAATGGAGAAGTGCCATCAGGGCCCCTGTGGAGGGATATGGGGGGGGTGTTTCTGGGTGCGGTCTTAAAGCCCCGAGTGCCTCCTCAACTCCCCTCCACCCCTCCACCTCCCACAGTCAATGGTTAACTCGTTCCAGCCCAGAAGGGGCCTGGGCCAGTCTGAGCAAGGTCCTTAGAGCAGTTCACAGAACTCAGTCAGGGTGGTGGGGCCTGTCCTGGGCTGGCCACATGCATGCCCGAGGGCTGGCGGTCCTAGGGGAGGGGGGCAGGCTATCCCCGCAGGCCGTCTGTGGGCTCTGAAGCCTTGCAAAGGGCAGAAGTGTAGCCGGCACCCTCTGGGCTGATTCCTATCATCTCCTGGATTGCAGGGCCCCAGGGCAATGGCCCAGCCCTCAGCTTGGCCAGCTAAGGGCCCTGCGTGCAGGCTGATTGCGGGGGGCCACCACATGTCACTAAATGCTGGATCCGCCTGAGATCCTAAGTACACCTCCAGCCCCCAGCCCCCTCCAGCTTTCTTTCTTTTTTTTTTTTTTTAAATTTTTTTTTTTTAAAGATTTTATTTATTTATTTGTCAGAGAGAGAGAGAGGGAGAGAGAGCAAGCACAGGCAGACAGAATGGCAGGCAGAGGCAGAGGGAGAAGCAGGCTCCCTGATGAGCAAGGAGCCCGATGTGGGACTCGATCCCAGGACGCTGGGATCATGACCTGAGCCGAAGGCAGCTGCTTAACCAACTGAGCCACCCAGGTGTCCCCCCCTCCAGCTTTCTGTGAATCAGCATGGCCATGCCACAATAGCTGTATTGCTCTTTCAAACTTTCCATAGCTTTTGATATCACATCACTTTTTTGATGTAAAGCAAATCAGATGTTATACTGCTCTGGGGTGGCTCACTACTGAAAAGGATCTTATGGTTTGGTTATTTTGTAAAACAAAGAATGGTCCTCCAATTGATCTGTTCTGTTCAGACTTCCATTGTCGGTCCTGCTGAAAAGGGGCAGATACTTCTTACCGGTGCTTATCTGTCCTCTCGGGCAGAAGAGACCACAAACGGCATCTTAGACCAGAGTTCAAGGCCAAGAGATGCCTTTGTGCGGTGGTGGAAACCCCAGGGCAGGGTCTGAGGGCTACTCCGGTTTCTCCAAGGTTTATTGCTAAGTTCCCGGTGATTCTGTCACTTGCTTCATTCCAACGAGAGAGAGTTAAGCCCCACGGGAGCCGACTGGCAGGAACTGCTAGAGCAGGTGTGTTTTAGCCGCAGGGGCAGAAGCGCTGCCCCCCCAAGGGGGTGGGCAGTCAGATGGTTACTGCCTGGCTCACTAGCTGGGTCCTCCACTCCCTGAGTTCCTCCCATCCAACCTCGGATGGGCGGTGGTGGGGTCATGGGCCCTGCCCCAGACCAGGCGGCGACTGGGGCACCCACAGGCCAAGCAAGTGCCACCCCCAACTCCTTCCAGAAACCCATTCTGGAACACCAAGTTCTGTGCAAGGTTGTGCTAAGCCCGGGTGAGGCAAGCTGCCAAAGCAAACCTCTCAGGCCTCCCCTTCATGTGCTTGCCTCTCCAGAGTGCCCTGGAAGTGTTTACCCGGCCACTCTCACCCCCTCCTTCACTTTCTAAGTGGGAACTGCACGAGATCTCCCCTGGGCTTCTCCTGCTACTTGAACTCAGCCAGAGGGACAGAGCAATGTAGGATCTGCTTCCCAGACAAAGAGGCAGGAAGGAGTCCGTCAGGCATGCGCTCTGGGCGTGGGGCTGAGTATATGGGAGGAAAGGGGACAACAGCAACAAGGGGCCCACGGAGGCAGGCATTCAACCCATTCCAAGCCTAGGTCAACCTCTTGTTTCCATTTTCCCCCAAATTTGATTTGCTCTCCCTCTTAAAAAAAAAAAAAGAAAAAAGAAAAAACAAAATAAAAACCACGCTTATTATGGAATATCTAGAAATCAGAAATAAACCGGGAGAAAATATCCTCTATTCCTTCTCCATAAAGAAAACCACTGTTCATCATTTGTCATATTTCTTTCTGGTCTTCTCAGAAAATGTGGTTAAGACCATTGGTTTCTAAAAGGAGGTGATCTATTCATCTGTGCTCGGCCCACCTGACCATCTAGCTTTCTGGAGTATAGTGGCTACTGCTCCACCCCAGGACCCTTCTCAGCCACATGCAGGGTCCTGAGAACCAGCCCACCACCCTCTCCAGGCCCGAGATGCCTCGATTTCTCATCCCTCTGCCTGCCCTTCGCTGCTCGGAGCTCCTCCAATCTGCCGTCTCCTTCCTCCGTCTTAAACGCACCCCCTGGCAACCATGTCCAGGCAGCCGTGTCTCCCAGAACTCCCACTAGCTCAGAGAGCAACTTTGTGGAAATGAGTAAAAGATGAGGCCACCTCCGTGTCAGGCCACTTCACGGCAGGGCACATGGCTTGTCAGTGGAGAAGCCTGGATGTCAGCCCCGAAGTCCCATCCCCGCTGGGTTCCTTGTGAAGAGTCGGCCTGTGATAAGTATATCTCACGGGCACCTTGTGACCCCAAAAACGTCCCTCCAATTTTCAGCTCTCCTGCAAAAACTCCTGTGTTCATGGAAGCTGGGTGGGGAAAGGAGCTGTCCCTCAGTGATTATTACTATTACCATGTGTTATTTTGCAGAGCACGCCTCCCTCAGAGGGCGGGGATTCACCTTAGAGCTAAAGGTTAGCGCTGGAAGGGACAGGTGAGGACCCTGAGGTCCAGAGAAGTATCTTGCCAGAGGTCACAAGGCTGGTGCAGTCCCAGGACTCCTCTCCCCACCCCCTACCCTGCCCTGAGGCTCCTCCCACTTAGGAAAAAAAAACCCACAACGACTCCACTCCTGTCGGTCCCCACTGGGAAGTCCAAATTACTCTCCAAATCATAAATCCTATTTATTTTGTAATGAATTCTAATCAGAATGCACAGGGTGTTTCTGTCCATCCAATGCCTGCCACCCATTCCCCAGACCCCTCTCTCTTCTGGTATCGTAGCGCTTATCTGAACCCTGGGTTCGTTGGGCTCCACCTTCAATCCTTTCAGGCCTGGACTCTTTTTTTTTTTTTTTTTTAAGATTTTATTTATTTATTTGACAGACAAAGATCACAAGTAGGCAGAGAGGCAGGCAGAGAGAGGAGGAAGCAGGCTCCCTGCTGAGCAGAGAGCCCGATGCGGGTCTCAAGCGGGTCTCGATCCCAGAACCCTGGGATCATGACCCGAGCTGAAGGCAGAGGCTTTAACCCACTGAGCCACCTCCTCAGGCCTCCTTCAGGCCTGGACTCTTAAAACAGCCCATGATTAGGAGCTAGAAACTGTTGCTCCAAGGCACCTCCCTTCTCCCCACTGACCCCTTTCACTGTCCCACCGTGTTCCTGCAGAAAGCCCCACCCTCGGCTCCAGGGACGGCCATGACCGAAGTTGGCTGGTGGAAGCTGACCTTCCTCCGGAAAAAGAAATCTGCTCCGAAGGTGCTGTATGAGATCCCCGACACCTACGCTCCAACGGAGGGCAGTGCCGAGCCCCCTCGGCCTGAGGGGGGGGACCCCAATGGCAACTATAACACCCGCCTGGAGAAGATCGTGGACAAGAACACAAAGGGCAAGCACGTCAAAGTCTCCAATTCAGGCCGCTTCAAGGAGAAGAAGAAAGTTCGGGCCACGTTGGCAGAGAACCCCAACCTCTTTGATGACAGTGATGGCAAAGGACAGTGAAGGAGGCCAAGGAGGACCCTAATACCTCCCTACTCCTGCCGTCAGCCGGACCTGCGACAGGAGCTGGCCACGCTGGCCTCCTTGGCCACAGCTGATTCCGTGGGGCCCTTGATGCCTGCTGGCAGGCAGGATCTGGTTTTAGGTTTTTATTTATGTGCCCCAGCTTTCTGGAAGGTCTGGGTTCTCCCAAGGTCGTCCCACGTCCCCAGCACATACAAAGGCACTCCAGTCCAAGGATGAGAAGTCCCACGCAGAAGGACAGCCCTCCTCAGAGCCGTGGCAGTGCCGGCAGGGAGGTGGGCATGGCGAGGGGCGGAGAGAGGGGGCGGACAGACTTCTCCTCCTCCGGTGGCACAGGGTCAAGGGTGAGTTTCGATTGCTGCTCCCTCTACTTTCTCTACCCACAGCTGTTCCCTGGACCAATTCTAAGCGTGACTTTTCCAGAAGCCACATGATGGGGTGGTTTTCTGGAGCTGGAGGAGGCGGAGACCCTGAACTTGAGCTCGCCTCCTCCCACATGAGGGAAACTTCCTGGAACTTTGCCCCTAGGTGTGCAAGGAGAGGAGGACACTGGCACTCTCCTGGGGGGGCAGGTTGCTGCAGAAGACCAGGTGAGGGACCCCACAGTTTCCTGCACACATCCTCAAAGGGACAGTGCACTGGCTCATGGGTCCAAATTCAGGGAGCGGCTAGGGAGGCTCTGATAGACCTAAAAGCAGCCAGCTCTCTTCTCCCCTCCTAATGGTATTTAAGAAGGACAAGCCCCAGAGATGAGTCCTGGAGCCTTGAATTTTGTTTAAAAAAATAATTGTAGGTGTCTCTCTTTGCAATAAACAATGCTGCAAAAGCAGAGAATCTATTTATGCTTTTGTCTTACATTTCCTGAGGACTGTTTCTCATGCCTTTACTCCCTGCATTTAAGTGAAGTGCTTAGCGTTCCTTTCAAGCGTCAGGAAGGGTCTCCAGGGGGCGCCTGGCTGGATCAGTCGACAGAGCACCTGACTCTTGGTCTGGGGGTTATAAGTTCGAGCCCCATGTTGGGTCTATAGAATACTTAAAAATAAGATCTTTTTTATTAAAGATAAAGGGGTCCTCAGTATGAAAATATAGCAAAGGTAGGGGCTAGTTTCAGCTAAGTGGTCAACAGAGAGAACATCAGGGACTTCAAGAGAGTAGAGGAGACCTTTGGTGACCCCACAGTTGTGGGGGTTTGGTTTAGGGTCAGGACTCAAATTCTCGTTCCACCATTTAGTCACTGGGTGATTTGGGGAATACTTTTTAAAAAATGCTCTCTAAACCTCAGGTTTCTCTCCTGTAATCATATCTTTTTTGGGGGAATGGTCAATATTAAATGCTCCCTAAGTAGTCCTATAGTAGGTGCTCGGTTAATATGGGTGTCCTCCCCCTTCCTTTATTAAGGAGCTCCACCATAGCCCACAGCTTCTGGTTAAGGAAGAGGAAAGAGTGTGCTCCCTGTGCTGTTAGATCCAGATCTTTCTCAGGCCCCAGGAGCTGGGAGCTAGAAAAAATTGGACACATCTCTGGAGCTCTTGGTGGGAACAGGGAGAAACCAAGGTGGCCACTAAATAATGTGGTCATGCAGCTTCCAGGTCAGTTCCTTGCGGGCGGTCGGGCCGCTCCACCCCAGGGAGTGTTGCTCAGGAAATTTATTACCAAAACAAACAGAACCATACAAGGGGGCCTTTGTTGGGTGGCCTCACCCAGGCTAGGGGGGACTGTGAGGATGAGTGACACCAGGAGCTGGAGGGAGGGAAGGTGGGCTGGTTCAGGTAAGCTGCTGTTCCCCAGGCCTCTTTTCCTATCCCTCCCACCTCGTAGAACTTCTAGGGTCCTTCCAATTACCCAATCCGTGAAGTGTCCCATGGAGGACCTGACTTCCCCCTACTCTAGTCCTGTCCACTGTGAATAGCCAGTGTTTACTAAGAGTTTATAGTGGACCAGGCCCTGTGGCAAGTACTCCGTGAGGTTCCTCGGTCAGTCCCCTCATCACCTTGAGACAGGTGCTGTCATTATCCCCATTTTCCAGCTGAGTTAGTTGAGGCGGAGAAGTGAAGGCACTTGCTTGCCATGGTGGAGCCGGGACTGAAGTCCGAGCTGGTGTGTGCCCATGACTGCGGCCCACGGCCCCCTCCATGCTTGATCTGCCTCTGCTCGGGGGATGGGAAACTGAGGCTCAGAGCAAAAAAAGGAGTCCAGTCACCTTCTGCAGAAGGGGAGGTAGGGTGGCAGAGGGTAATGGCCTGGGTTTTAGAATCCTGATTCTGGCACCAGTAGGGGAGAGCTAACCAGCTCAGAGGCTGAGTGTCCTCTGAGACATCAGACCACTTCCGCCCATCCTGAGATTGCTTGAGGGAGGGGGGTTTAGGGATGAGCCTGGGCCCTGGGCCCCCCGGCCCGGCTTCTATCCAATAATGACACCACATGGCCACTATTACCCTGGTGCGTGAGATCCTGCTCTAGTCTCTGATGTCCGCAGGAACCTTCCATGGAAACCCCAGTTACCCCTAAGCTGGGGGGCAGGGGGTAGGTGTGTGCTAAAAGCCAAAGGGAAATCTGGCTGGCCAGGGAGTCAGAGGGAGGCAGCTGCAAACTTCCACAAGGCCAGAGGAGGAACTGAGAGTGCAAATATGGGCAGGAGCTGTGAGAGGCTATGGGTTATCGACCACAGTTTCACTGGGACACGACCCAATGGGGGGAAGGGGGAGGCAGGAGGGGCAGGCTCCAACTGGCCTGCACTGCCCAGGAGGGGTCAACCTTGGGCGGTGGGCTCCCCCTGCTGGCCATCCAACCACTATGGAGAGGAGGAGTTGAGCCGGGAGGGGGGCCCTTAAGCCCCCAACTCCCTCCTTCCTAGGCTGGTGGTGGGGGATGCGAGGATGTGGCTGGGCCAGCCTGAACATTAATATCACACACGGCTGAACAAGTTTTATTACAGACTTGGCACAGTGATTGTCAAAGAACAGGAGAGGAACAGCTGAACCCAGGCTCAGATAGGGGGTGGGGGATACAGAGCTCCTAGTAATGGGACAAGGCAGAGAAGGGCACCCCAGCACCATCTCCTTTGGTGGCCATAGGGTTAGCATCGTGCCTTCCCACACTCAGGCTTAAGAGGGGGATCAACCCCCCACAGGGGCCCCTTGGGAGGAGCCCATGAATGGCAGACACCAAACCAGCGCGCACGCCCACACAGGAATGAAACAGTTTACAGAGCTGGTGAGTTCCATGCCAACGTGCAAAATAACAGTTCTCAGATTCTGGCTTAGTCACAGCAAACATTTACCCAGCCTGGCTCCCCTCCACAGCCTGGAGGCCATTCGTTCAAGTTGTCCTTGGTCACCAGACTTGTGCTCAAGAAGTGTGCAAACACAGTTCAGCGCGGGCCTCAGTCCAGGCCTGATGAGGAATCCCATGGTGAGGGTGGGAGGTCATTGCTTTGTGGAGGTGGGGGACACTGAAACCGGTCACCTGGGGTGGGGGCTTATTAAATGCAGGACGGGATTCATGGGTGGGCTGAGGGTGGGCTCCTAAATGGTGGTGCTGCTGGTCCGTGGATCACATGGAGTAGCAAGGATCTAAACTCGGGGGTCTCAACTTTTGGCTGCACAGAAGTCCCTGGGGAGCTTTTATGTTCCCCAAAGTTCAGACCTCACTCAGACCAGTGAAACCATGTGTGACAAACGCTTCCTGGGTAATTCCAGCAGGGATGGAAACCCGTGTCTAGGAGTCATCCCCCGCAGAGGAGGGGAGCAGCTGAAGGGGATCCATGAGTACCGAAATGTATCTCTGTAACAATTCTATACCTGGAAAATGAAACAGATATCTGTGTATGTGCGCGCGCGTGTGCGCGCACACACACGTATTGTTCTCAGAAACGAATATGGAAAGTAAAGCTTGACTGAAATCTGCCTGGCTCGTAGGTATAAGTCATGAAGCCCTTCTATAAAACTCCTGACTCCCTGGGATCGAATACTTCTAGAGACACTTGCTACCTAACTAGGTAGCCCACTCCCGATTACTCGATCATGGTTGTCTCAAGTCTCTCCCCCAACTGAGAGGAAACCTACGTCCGTGCAACTCCCACCTCTGGGTCCTCTGGAGCTCCAGAGAATACATTTAATCTCTTTTCCGCGCTGTTGCGCTTCTGATAAGGGGAAGCAGTTATCAGTAGGGTACAGGGCTATAAAAATATCCTATTAGTAAGTTAATGAAGTTTCTTTTAGTTGCAAGCAACAGAAATTGATTCTGGCTAGTTTAAGCCAAAAACTTCCTTTTAGAAAAAACAAAACGAGGGGCGCCTGGGTGGCTCAGTGGGTTAAGCCGCTGCCTTCGGCTCAGGTCATGATCTCAGGGTCCTGGGATCGAGTCCCGCATCAGGCTCTCTGCTCAGCAGGGAGCCTGCTTCCCTCTCTCTCTCTCTCTCTCTGCCTGCCTCTCTGTCTACTTGTGATCTCTGTCAAATAAATAAATAAAATCTTTAAAAAAAAAAACAAAAAAAAAACCGAAACAAACAAAAAAAGGGATAATGGGTGTTTTCAGGCAGGAGGAGTTAACACAGCCCACACGTGGGGAGGCGGGATCCAAGGGTCACTCAGGGAATGACAAGAGAAGTGGCTGGAAACTGTTGCTTCTTGGCTGCCATTAAGGACTTGCTAAAATGCCTCTCACGCTCTGGATCTCTCCCTGTCAAATTTCAAATTGTTGACAAGAAAAAAAAAAACAACAGATTGTCTACACTGCCTTGGATGCTTAGGCTGGAACCAGGCCGATCCCGGCGGTATGACCCAGTCACACCCTAACAGGGCAGCAGGACCCCAGGTCCCTGGAAAAGGGAACCACACCAGCTACTACCTCTAGAGGGAGCTATTCCAATAAATCATATTCAAGGTCAAGAAAATAATTATGGGATTTTTTTTTCCCCATTTGTGATTCTCTCTGCCACTGTTTACGCTCCACTAGACTACCTACTTGAGAGCCAACTAAAGATACAGAATTTGGAGCTTGAACTCTGAAGAGCTTTAAATATAAGGAGTGGGGGAGGGAAATGGGTTGAGTCTAGAAGGTCACGCCCACCATCCCATACCCTCTCTTAGCACCCAGCGCCAGCTCCAGCAGGCGCCAGCAGACTTCGAGTCAGGGTGCGAGCCTCTCGTATAGCCAGTCTTCCTCCCCACGGTGGGTCATGGGCCCCAAAGGGGAGTCTCCTGTCGGCAGGCCCCGCCGGAAGAGGATCCGGTCATGCAGACGGTTGGTTTGGCCCTGCCAGAACTCCATCACTCGCGGGTACAGGATGTAGCCACCCCTTCAAGGAGAAGCAGCGGGTTTGGTGCTCTGTGCAATTTTCCAGCAGGACACCGCCCCCACCCTTGGGGTCCCCATCCCAGCCCATCCCAGGGCCCCTTGATGGAAGTCGGAAGGATGAATCTGATGATGTTTGGGTGGTGGGGAGGCAGGGAGTAGGTCTGTAATGCCACAGATAGAGCGGTTTTGAGTAAACATGAAGGTTCTGTGCCCCGGCCTGGACGGCCACCAGCTATCACTCACCAGTACTTCGGCTTTGGCACCTCTTGCTCTTGGTAGAGCTGCTCCAGTTCCTCATTCTTCTTTCTCAGATACTGTCCAGGGGAAGGAAACACAGTAAGGCCTGGACTGAGTCAGTGATTCACTTACTAACCGTTTACTAAGTACGTGCCTTGGCCCAGGGGACGCAGGTGATCAAGAGAGGCTGGCCTCTCTCCTCTCGGAGCACAGTCAGAGGGTCAGACAAAGGAAGTCCATTTCCCCCACTTCCCCAAGGAGACCACCCCTTCATTTTGCTGGAGAGGGTGGGCCCTGGCACTTCTAGTGGACAGCCGCTGGGGGATGAGCTAAGGCCCCTGCCACCCAGAGAACCAAGGAGGAACCCAACTCACCTCCCGATCGGGGATCACAGAACTCTGGTTACTGACCACAGCCCCGATTTGGCTGCTCTTAGGGCGGGAGTGGAAGTAGCACTCAGCCTCCTCTTCGGGCAGCTTCTTCACGGAGCCCTCCACACGCACCTGCTCAGAGACTGCCCTGGCTAGATGGCATTCATCGCCATCTGCCCTCCCCACCAACACAGGTCCCCTTCCTCTCTTTCTTCCCTTCTCCACCGCCCCACCACTGCCGGCTCCAACTAGGCCAGCTCATTAAGAGAGACAGGAAGGGGACGCCTGGGTGGCTTAGTTGGTTAAGCGGCTGCCTTCGGCTCAGGTCATGATCCCAGCGTCCTGGGATCGAGTCCCACATCGGGCTCCTTGCTCATCAGGGAGCCTGCTTCTCCCTCTGCCTCTGCCTGCCATTCTGTCTGCCTGTGCTTGCTCTCTCTCCCTCTCTCTCTCTCTGACAAATAAATAAATTAAAAAAATCTTTAAAAAAAAAAAAAGAGAGAGAGACTGGTCTGCCTGGCCTGATGCCCTCCACTGGGCTCCTCCGTAGCAAGCCCCAGGTTGTCCCGGGAATGCTCACTCACCTGACGGTTGAGGGGCTCCCAGTAGAAGACAAGGGAAGCAAAGGGATTGGAGTCCTGGAAATGAAAGAGAACTCACAGTCGGCCATCCGAACAGCAGGGAGAACACCTCCACCATGCAGAAAGGAGGCAGGAAGCCTGCAGCGTGCAGACCCATGGGGCAGGTATTCACTGGCACATCTCATCTAAACCCTCATAGGTAGGCCTGCTTTTCCAGGGGTGGAGACAGACTCAGACAGGTTAAGGAACCTGCCCAAGCTCACATAGGAAGTGCTAGAGCCGCACTGCGAACCTGAGCCAGATGGACTCCAGAGTGAGGCTCTGCCATTTCTCTCATCCATAGATGTGCAAGTCGCAGAAATGCATCTATGGGCGCCATGGGCTTGGGGAGTCCTTTGGATTCATGAGTCGAACACACAAAAAGGATCAACTCTGGGCTTGACACCAGGAGAGGCGCAGAGGGAACACCGGGCGTACAATGAATGCAGCCTCTGTCCCCACAGAGCTTCCTGGGTGTTTAGTGGAGGAGACAAATCTCAATCACATAACCAAACAAAGGCACAGTTATCAATGGAAAACAAGGCAGCAAGTAAAGTTACAAGTTACCAAGAGGGTGAACAGCTGATGTGGCATGGGGATCGAGGACTTTCCCAAGGAGGTTACACGGGAGCTGAGAGCCAAAGGGACAGGAGCTACTTAGGGAAGCAGATGACAGAGATGGGGTGGTCAGAGAGAGCACTCCTTCACAGCAGAGAGAAGGGCAAGTGCCAAGGCCCGCAGGCTGGACGGCGCCTGAGCATAGCCAGCAAGCAGGATGTGGTGGGGGTGGCACCGGAGGGTGATGAAGGAAGCCAGGGCTGGCCCCTGCGGGCCCCTCACCAGCTCTTTTCCCTTCCGACTCTCGAAGTTAGTGAAGAAGCGGAAGCCATCCTTGCCAAAGCCCTTCAGCAGCACCATGCGGGCAGAGGGTTTTCCGTCTCTGGGCAAAGACCAGAGTGTGTGGTCAGAGCCCATGTCATTGTCCTTGCTACCACCCCTCTCCCCAGGTGCTCCCCTGCACTCCCCATGCCTCTGCCTTCTTATTCTGCACTGTCAGGGGATGCCAGCCACCCATGGCCACCCCACCCCCACCCTGAGGATCTGTCCTAGAGGTATGGGCAGGACACTGCTGCCTGGGACTTGTCATAGACTGAACTGTGTCTCCCTAAAATTCTATGTTGAAGCCCCCAAAGTGGCTCTATTTGGAGACAGAGCTTTTAGAGAGATAATTAAGATTAAATGAGGTCATAAAGGTAAGACTCTAATCCAATAGGCCTGGTGTCCAGAAAGATCTCTGTCTCTCTCTCTCTCCTTCTCCCTCCCTTCCTCCCTCCCATCCCCTGCATGTACCATGGAAAGGCCATGCAAGGACACAGCAAAAAGGTGGCCATCTACAAGCCAGAAAGAGAGGCCTCCCAAGGAACCCATCCTGACAGCACCTTGATCTTGGACTTCTAGCTCTCAGAGCTGTGAGGAAATAAATCTCTGCTGGTTACACTTACCAGTCAGTGGTATTTTATTACCTAGCAGGTTAACAAGGCTCTTGGGGCAGTGACCAACAATGACACAACCAGTTAGGGCTTAGCGATCACAGAAAGGGCAGTTACATTAGGACCTCTGCTCAGACTCTGGGGAATATCCTGGGGCACAGTACCAGAGCCCTGCCTTCAAGGCCTTACACTTTTTTTTTTTAAAGATTTTATTTATTTGAGAGAGAGAGAGAGAGTATGAGCTGGGGGGCTGGGGAGGAGCAGAGGGAAAGGGAGAAGCAGACTCCCCACTGAGCAGCAACCCTGGCGGCTCAATCCCAGAACCCTGAGATCATGCCATGAGCTGAAACCAAGAGTCAGATGCTTCCCCAATGAGCCACCCAGGCGCCTCAAGACCTTACACTTTAAAGCGTGGGGACAAGAGTTGAATAACAGGCTAATGTAAGAGGTGTCTCAAGGTTATATGACTGATTGTCAAATACATAATACAACCAAGCACTACGCTAGATTTCAGGAGAGGTAGAGAGCTTTATGGAGAAGTTCCAGGAGATGTAGCTTTTAAAGGACAGGTGGGAATTGAGTAAATGGGGAGATAAGGGAGACATGGGTGTTGGGGGTGAGAGCAACAGGGGCAGAGATGAATGAGGGACTACATTTTTATTACTGAAATGGAATTAAGTAAAGTCTGATCTTTGTTTACAGGTAAGGACACAAAGGCCCAGAGAGGACAACTAACTTGCCTGAGGTCACACAGCATGTTAGTAACACAGCTATAAACATAAATTTGCATTCCACCAAGTTGAGAGCTTCCTAGTTTCTTACTTCACCTGTACCCACCCACAGACGGGCCCACGGCTATGCCCACCTGGTGCAGGTAGCCAGACACATGGCATTGGCTTCCCCTATGTCAGGACACTGAACGGCCTCCTCAAACCAGGCAGCAAACTGCTTCATGGGGTCCAGGGAAGTCAGCTGAGTTTCCTCAAATGCCTGGGAAAGGAGAGTTTTATTTAATGAACACATATAACTCTTACTGTGTATGTGGTACTGTTCCAGGCACTGTTGGTAACAAAAAACAGTACCCAGGAAATAGGTTCTGCTAGCTCCATTGTACAGGTGAGGACAGAGGCATAAAAAACATGGCGTAACTCGCCAGGTCCCACAGCAGTGATGGATGAATCAGAGTTTCATGTCATGAGCATCAAACCTATCACCTGGGGAGCATAAAAGAAAAAAGCCATATCCCTGGTCTCCACCCCCACAAATTCTCCGTAGGTCTGAGGTTCGGTGAAAAACTGCATGTTTAACAACTATTTCTGGAAATGCTCACACGCAACTAGATTTAGAAACTGCAGCTCTGGGCCTCAATTCTAAAACAGTTGGTTTCTCCTTCAAGGAGGGAAAAGGAAAAGAACTTCTCCAAAAGGGAAGGAAAGGTACTGACGGCAGTGAGATCTAGGCGCTCTCTCCTCCCTTCCGTCCGTGAGTCACTACCCCTCCCCCATGTGTTACTTATCAAATATTTAGAAGCTGATTATCACTGTTCTAAGCACTTTGCAAATATCAAAGTCCACAACATCCCTGCGAGTTAGGTACTCACTTCCCAGGTGAGGAAACTGAGGCCCAGAGAGGTTGTTAGTGACGCACTCGTGAGTGGCAGGATCCCACCCCGGGGCCTCTCCAGAGCTGGCGTTCTCACCCGCGGCAACTCGCAGCCTCTCTTCATCCTTGTTCCCCAGAGCCCCTTACACCCCTGGTTGTCTTGGAACCCCCTTCTCCTACGGGGGTGACCCCAATCCCACCCCGTGAGGCTCCTCCCCCGCCCTGCGGGAGGTCTTGCCTCGGTGGCCGCACCTCTCGGTCCCCGCGGTAACTCTTGCGCATCGGGCCCAGGTCCATGCTGACACCGCCACCGTATAGGTGGTGGAGGTAGCGGGGCCACTCGGCAGGTCGCCCGAACGTCACGGTGACGCCTCGCAATCCGCACGTCATGAGGCCGCCAGCCACGTGACCCACCGTCGCCCAGCGCTGGGTTCCGTTGGATTCGGAACCAATTTCTCAGCCCGGGAGTTTACCCAGGGGACGGAAGAATTCCCCTGCTAACATGTCCTAAGTCCTCGGAGCCAATGGGAGCTCGGGGTCGGAGGAGGGAGACAGGCGCGGAGAGACCATTGGTTGGAGTTTTCCGGGAGCGAGGCCAATTAGAGCGAGAATAGAGGAACCCAGCGGCCAATGGGTGGCGCCTCCGGGGGCGGGAGCAGAGAGACAAGGAAATGCTGTCACCGCCGTTAACACGCACGTGGAGGTTTGTTAAAGGTATAGGGACTGCAGCCGCCCAGGCGGGGGGCGGGGAATGAGTCGCTGGGGGCTTGAGGGGAGTGGTCAATGTTAAGTGGCTGGCCCCTAGCAGGTGCCTGGAGGAGAGCCTAGTGCAGGAAGTAGCCCCCTGGGGGGAGAAGCCGGTGGGCTGGGAAAGGACAAATGGAAAACAAATTAGGGGCCAATCTCTGAGGCAAGGTGATGGGGAGACACAGAAGGTGGGGGAGTCCGGTTGGGGGAAGAAATTGGGGCTGGAGAGTGGGAGAGGTTGAAGTGAGTTGTGGATCACAGAGGAATAGGGGCTGTGTATTGTGCGTGAGGGTATGGGGGGGGTTCTCTGGGGGGGGGGGGGGGGAGATGCAGCAGGGTCAGGAAGAGATTTTGGGGTGGGAAGAAAGCCTGCTGAGTGGAAAGGGGAAAAGGGAAATTTGAGATCAAGCCATCCCAGACCAGAGCCATCTTCCTTGTCCAGCTCTGAACTCCCTCTCTCTGCCTCATTTCTTTAACCCCGGGTCAGAGCATGCTGCTCCCTTTGCTCATGATTTCTCCTTTCCTGGTGCAGCGGAGTTCACACTAGCTGGTGTTCTGGTAGATGGAAAGGTTGCCTCTCCTGGGCTTCCCTCATTTTAGCCGGGTTCCCCCCTTCTTCACGTTTTGCCCTTCCTAGGTAGTTGGAGTCTAGTTCCTAGGTAATGCCAGCCATAGCTGAGGGCCAGGGGAGCAGGTGGCTGTGCAAAGCCACTTCCAGCCTGTGGACAAGGGGCTGAGACACGGAAAATCTACCAGTGCCCATTCCGGCTTAGGCCTGGCTGGGGCAGCCTTGGGTCAAGTCCTCTCTGTAGTCCCGGTTTCCACCAACATCAGGAAGGGGAGCCGCAAGAACCATCTAGGCAGGCGCCCGGGGACTGTGTCAGGTAAGGGGAACGTCCTGCCCTGCCCAGGTCTTTGCATTACCAGGTGGCAAGCTTCATAAAGCCCTACATTAGATACCTATCATCTTTTATTATACAGATGTAGCTTGAGCCAAATGGAATCTGGAAGACCAATTTGCTACAATGAAATAATACATGTCTCAAGGCTTAATGATGTTGATCTGTGGATTCTCTACTGGTTGGAATTTTTTTTGCCGCATCGTTTTCCTCCATCTACATGACTGAGAGTTGTCTGGACTGACTTTGTTGTCTTTCCACATGGGAGCATTGCTGTTCTTGGCTCCTCCCAAGCCCCTGCACTTGGACCTGTGTAAGCGTGATTAGTGCCCTTCAATACAGATGATTTGTGCATGGGGCCACACTCTTAGCACTCCTGGGCTATGCTACTCTGGATTTGGGAGACTAGGGCACCAGACTAAGATTATTTGAATAGTTTAAATAGCTTAAAAGCCAAGCGCTCAGTTAGGTATTTATTCATTCCATAGACATTTGTTAAAGACTTTTTTTTTTTTTTTTTAGGATTTTATTTATTTGTCAGAGAGAGAGAGAGCACAAGCAGGGGGAGCAGCAGGCAGAGGGAAAAGCAGGCCCCATGCTGAGCAGGGAGCCTGATGTGGGACTCGATCCCAGGATTCTGGGATCATGACCTGAGCTGAAGGCAGACACTTCAGCCACCCAGGCGTCCCTGTTAAAGACACGACAACGACGACTACTACTACTACTTCTCCTCCTCCTCCTCCTTCTTCTTTTTCTTCTTCTTCTTTTATCGGGCACTGAGCTAGGTCTGAGAATACTAAGATGAAGAAGGTGACATGCTTCCTGCCCACAAGGGGTCTGTAGTCTACAGGGGAAGCAGATCTGAAGGCTGGTGGGTGACAGGTACTTAAGCAGATACTTATGTGAGGAAAAGGGGAGCAGAGAGAAAAGGTGTCACCAGGAGTCAGACAGGAAGCCTTCATAAAGGAAGGAGACATTTGATTTGTCTTATTGAGTAAGTGTTTGCCAGACGGATAATGGAATGGGCATGCCAGGAAGAGGGAACAGTGTGAATAAAGGCACGGTGTGTTGGAAATGTGGAACAACAGCCGGGCTCTCCGAGAGCAAGATAATGAGGTGGGCAGCAGGTTCGACTAACAGGCAGGGCTGGTGATCCGACAGAGGGAAAGGGCCAGGCTTTTAGACAACAATTCTGGCTTTTTTTTTTTTTTTTTTTTAATCCTTCTTGCTGTTGTCAAACCAGAGTATCTAATTTCTGTTTTTTTAAGACCAGATGGACAGAAAAAGTACTAGATTCCAACAGCCTCTCCCATCCTCGGCGATTAGCAAGGAAGTTTGCCGTTTGTTGCCTTTCTAGATTTTTCCCTCCTGCCTTGAAAATAATAAGTAGGCTTGTGTTGTGCTTTTCTGCCTAGTGGGATTTGGTGTCTGGATCACAAAGCAGCCCCACAGCTCAAAAGAGAGAGGGGACGGCCTTACTGCTACCGCTGAAACCCCAATAGGGGTTTTGTCTGGGTGGGAGAAATGAATGTTTTATTGTTCCTGCTTTTTCTTAAACACTTTGCCACCCTCCTCCCTCCCCCAACTTTGTAAAATTATTAATCTTTTCTTTTTTTTTTTTTTTTAAGATTTTATTTATTTATTTGTCAGAGAGAGAGGGAGAGAGAGCAAGCACAGGCAGACAGAATGGCAGGAAGAGACAGAGGGAGAAGCAGGCTCCCTGATGAGCAAGGAGCCCGATGTGGGACTTGATCCCAGGACGCTAGGATCATGACCTGAGCCGAAGGCAGCTGCTTAACCAACTGAGCCACCCAGGCGTCCCTTATTAATCTTTTCTTGAGAGAGTCTTAAGTATATAGAAAATGAGTGGTAATGCTTCATCGTACAGAAGAGGCACCCTGGTTTCTCAGTATGAAACGAAAGGGCTGTGTTGTGGGGTTGGGGACTGTGCCTCGCCTGTCTTCTTCCCATGTTTTTGCCTTTATGTTCTTAAGTCACCTTTTTGTCTAATTGTTTGGGTGAATTCTGTATTTCACTTGGATCTTAGTGACTGTGTCTGGGGACCTGGCTCTGGTGACTGAGTGGCTGGTGGGTCAGGGAGTGAAAGGCAGGGACACAGAGACATCAAGCGACCCTGCAGAAGCTGGGAGCCGGGAGCCTGGTGCAGGAGTCTGGGATGGGGCCCCAGGCGAGGCTATCACTCATGGGGATAAGCTGAGGCGCCATGGGTGGGACTGTTTGTTGAAGTGAGGCATGTTGGAGGAGGAGGTTTGGGGGAAAGAGGAAGCCGATCAGACCTGCTGAGTGTGAGGGTTTATGGGACACGCCTGTTTGGCCAGGTTTGATCATTGGGTCTAGAGCTTAGGGGAGAGGTCTAGGCTGATGAGACTGGGTTGGGCGTCGCTAGCTCCGGAGGTGGCACCCGAAGCCATGCGGGTGGATGAGAATGTCTGAGAAGAGGGCCTGGGAGAATTAAGGAGGATGAGGGGCAGGGAGGGACGAGGCCCAGGAAGATGGCAGTGATGCCAGTGAAATGCAACCTTCCAGGAGGCCAACGGCAGGCCAGAGGGGTGTGCTGGGGGCCCGAGGCTCAGGCACTCTTGAGCCCAGCCTTGGGGTGCACTCAGGACACACAGAAGGGGGGGTACTTGGTGCTCTGCTGGCAGCCACCTGAGCCCCGAGTAGTATGGTTGTTGGGGGGCCCAAAAGGGAGCCGGGTCCTCAGAGGCTTGCAGTGGGATCTAGAGGAGGCTGACCCTTCCCTGAGTGGCCTGCTTGTGGTTGTGTGGTCCGCCCCTCTCACGACCCCTGTGTGTGCTCATGGATCACTTCCCAAATGCATCCTTTCGTTCGTTTTCCGCCCCAGCCCTCATTAGAAGCGTCTTCCTGGGAGGGACCACATCCCTCACTGTCTCTGGCTCCTTCTCAAAATCCCTGCCAGGAAACGCTATTCTATAATGTTTATGCATAAACTGCCTTCGTTAAGCTTCTCTGTACCTGGGTGCCAGGCATGGTGAGTGGGCCTGGGGGCCCGGTGGGGGCCGGGCTGAGTGTTTCCGTGGGCTGGAGGGATGTAACGCTTTCCAAGGCTGAGTGAGGCATTAGGGCATCAGTCCAGTCCCAGCCCTGGCTGCGTTGGTAACTGGGGCCACAGGCAGAGGGAGAGGGCCTGATGGTAGGTTCCTAGGCAGGACCCCAGGAATATGACCTGGCGGCTCCTTAGGCTTCCTTTGAGAAATCCTGGTCGGTCCTGGCTTTTGGCCTGACCCCTGGTCACTTCGCCTTTCCTCTCACCGGTGCCTGTGATGAGACAGTGTTTAACTCCCCTGATTCAAGCCCTGATTCTCGGCCCTGTACCACCATGCTTTGCTTTATTTTCAGCCAGCCCTGTTCTGTAGGCCATCTTCCCAGGCTCACTTCCTGCCCCTTCCTCTCCCTCTTCCACTCTTCCACTAGGAAATCCAGCTGCCTGCAACCTTTCCCAGCAGGACTGCAGGCCCTCTAGTGACTTCATCCCAGCCCCAAAGACCTTGGTCAGGTCACAAGAGGTCTCCCAAGGCAGTGAATCACCGCATGAGGGTCCCTGGAATCCCCCGCCGTGTAGACCTCAGTCACGCTCCGTCAGCCACGGGCGCCTGCTGCGTCCAGGTACCTGAGGGGCTGCGTGTGGCTCCCGGTCAGACTTAAGTGTGGGGCCTCAACCGGCTCTGGGAAGGTGATTATAAAGACGGACTGAGGAGTTTGAAAGAAGCCTGAGCTCTCTTTGCTGCCTTAGTAGTTTGTTTGTTTTTTAAAGGTGTTTTGCCTGGAATGGCCTTCAGGAGGGAGGATCTCAGAAAGGAGGGACCGGGCCCCCTTTCCTTCCAGGCTTGTAATCCTAGTATCTGCGGTCAAAGAACGACAGTGCTGGGACGCCTGGGTAGCTTAGTCAGTTGAGCGGCTGCCTTTGGCTCAGGTTATGATCCTAGCGTGCTGGGATTGAGTCCCACACCGGGCTCCTTGCTTGGTGGGAAGCCTGCTTCTCCCTCTGCCTCTGCCTACCTGTTTTCTCTCTCTCTGACAAATAAATAAATAAAATCTTAAAAAAAAAAAAGAGCCACAGGGCTGAGCATCACTGAGCAGACAGGAGGGAGTGGTGTGTGGTGGCCTTGGGGCAGATGACCCTGAGGAGGGAAGGGGGCAGAGGATGGTATTGGGCAGGATGGCCCCCCACTCTTGAGCTGCTGGGGGTGGCCCGCTCCCAGATTTTCAACCAGGGCCTACCAGATGTCCTGGGGACACCTCTGGCCTGGGGTGAGCCGGGGCTGCATGATACCGTCAACAGCCCCCTGCGCCCCCCTGCCCAGCAATTCTCCAGTAAACCAGGGCTGGATTAAGGCAGAGGAGGGCCCACTTGCCACCAGTGTCCCTTCTTCGCCCGTGCCATCACCCACGCCGGGCAGAATGCGCTCTCCCACTCCCTGTCTGCCTCTGGCACCCCACGGGAGGCAGAGATAGTCAGGCCTAAGTTTTGAACCTGAGTATCTCACCGGAGAGGGGAAATCCTGAGTGCCAACAGGCATTTCTGCACGTTGGGGCCTGGCACCCTCATCACCCAAGGTTGCCCAGGAGTCGGGGGAGTTTCCGTACAGGAAGCATAAAAGCATGTGACTTGGAAAAAAGCACGCTCTTAGGAAAGGATCATTTTTTGTGCAGAAGAGCAAAGCTAAGGGGGCCATGGGGCAAAAAGTGGGCAATGTGTTAATATTCCCCTTCCCTCCACCAAACCCATCTCAGAACACAGCAAGACACTTTTCCAGAAGGGAGAGACACTCCTCACGTCTCCCCCCTGCCTGTGCAGCAATGAGACGGAGGCCGGATGGAAGCTGGTTGCGGGGCCGCGGTGCCAGGGGAGAAGCACTGTTGGGCTGTGTCTCCCAAAGGGCTTGTGTGCAATGATCAGGGGCAGAGAACCTGTGACCTGAGGTCATAACCTTTTTATTTCT